TCCATTTTTTGTACAGATAGAATGGGAGGGAGAGAGAGGAAGGGAGAGAGAGTGAGAAACATCGACGTGAAGGGACACATCGAGTGGCTGCCACCCGCACGACCAACCAGGGCCGGGGACAAACTGCAACCGAAGTACGTGCCCTTAGCGGGAACCGAACCCGGGTCTCTCCGGACCGCAGGCAGACGCTCTAACCGCTGAGCCAAACTGGCCAGGGCTCCATTTATTTCTTGATGAACACTTTGGTTGTTCCCATGTCTTTGCTATTGTAAATAGTGCTTCAGTGAACATGGGGGTGCAGGTATCTTTGCAAGCGAGTGTCTTCAGTTCCTTCAGATGAGAACGTTTTTGTCTGTGTACTTTTTGCCCCACCTAGATCTCTCTCTCTCTCTCTCTCTCTCTCTCACACGCACACACACACACACCCCGCATTATCTTTATTCATGTATTTGTTAATGAACATGTACGTTGGTTCTATATCTTGGCCATTGTGGATGATGCTTCGGGGAACATGGGAGCGCAGATCTCTCTGAGGTCCCCGTTTCCTTTCCTTTGGGTGCATATTCAGAAGTGGGGTTGCTGGGTCCTATGGACATTGCACTTTTAGTTTTGTGAGGAAGCTCTGTGCTATCTTCCATAGTGGCTGCGCCAATTGGCAGTCCCACCAACAGTGAACACACGTTCCTTTGTTCCACATACTTGTCGTCATCCTTTATTTTGTATTTTTCTTGTAGCTATCCTAACAGGTGTGGTATGATATTGTGGGTTTGATGTCTGTCGCCTTGGTGAAGAGTAATGTTGAGCATCTCTTCACATCCTTCTGGCCACGCACAGCAGAGGAAACAAGCAACATGAAAATGCAACCTATGGAATGGGAGAAATATTTGCAAACCGTAAGGGGCTAATATTCGAAATCTATAAGGAATTCTCAGAACTCAATAGCAGAAAAACCACCTGATAAATGGACAAAGGACCTGAACAGACACTTCGCCAAAGAAGACATAAAAATGGTCATTAGCATTTGTATAGGGATTGCACTGAATTTGTTGTTGCTTCTAGTACTACACCTTAAATTAAAGAGAGCATTGCCGCTCAGCCAGTATGTCTCAGTGGTTGAGCATCGACCCTGCACCAAGAGGTCGCCAGTTCGATTCCCGGTCAGGGCACATACCCAGGATGTGGGCCTGATCCCCAGTAGGGGGCATGCAGGAGGCAACCAATTGATGTTCTCTCTCATTGATGTTTCTATCTCACTCTCTCTCTCCCCTCCTCCAAAAACATCTAAAAACAGACATCTCTAAAAACTAATAAAGAAAAAAAAAAAAGAATAATAAATAAATAAAGAGCATTGCCTGACCTTGAGGGAGGTTTTAAATGAGGGTGAAAAACTACTGCCACCTTGTGGCGACTCTTTGTCTAGTCATCCTAAATGTGACCTGTGAGAGTTCTTATGATTGTATTGATCCTCTTGAAGAATCAGCTTTTGTTTTTGATTTTCTACTGTGTGCACGTTTTCATTTCCATTTCACTGTGGCTTTACCTCCTTTAATTCTAGCTTCTTATGGTAGAAATTCAGCTTGTTGATTTGTGAACTTCTCTCATTTCCACTATAAAAACATTTAAAGTTATATCTCTCTCTCTAAGCATTGCTCTAGCTGCATTCCCACAAATTTTGGTATGTTACCTTTTCATTTTTGATTCATTTAAAGTATTTTCTAATTTCCCATGTGATTTGTCCTCTGATCCACTAGAAACATGTTGATTAATTTCCACATATTTGGAGATTTTTCAAATATTTTCCTGTTATTGATATCTTTGTAAATTCCACTGTAGATGTTGACATCCACTGGGTGATTTTTAATTGCTTTGAGTTTTGAGACTTGCTTTATAGCTAAGTATGAGCCACATTGCGTAATATTTTAATGAATTCTGCTATTATTGGGTGGGCTGTCCTACAAATTTCAGTTAGGTCACAGTGAATGATACTGTTGTTCAAGTTTTCTGTATCTTTACTCATATACTGATATTTTGTCTGTCTTTTCATTACAGGCAGAGAAATGTTGAGATATCCACTGTAATTATTAATTTAATTTGCCTATTTCATCTCTCATTTTTATCAGTTTTTCTTGAAAAATTTTGCAATTCTGTTATTAGGTACAGTCTGATTTAGTATTAATATGTGTTCCTGGTGAATTAACCACTTTGTCAGTGGGGATAATAACCTCTGTTTATCTCTGGTAATACTCTTCATGCTAAAATCTACTTTATAATCAATTAGTCAGTATAGTCTATTTTCTTCTCTTCAGATTAATATTTCTATAACATATGTATTTCCCTCTTTCCATTTTTAATCTATTTATGTTTGATCTCTCAAGTGGTTTTCTTTTCTTTTCTTTTTTTTTGTAATAAATAGCATGCACCTGAGTCTCATTTTTTATAGAGTTGACCATCTCTCTCTTTAAAATAGAGCATCTAGAACCTTAGCAGTAAAGTTCATTTTATCTTGTGGAGCCAAATTTCCATCTGGATCAATTTTCTTCTGCCAAAAGAAATTCTTTTTTTAAAATAGTGCAGGTTTTGCTGGTGAAGAATTTTCATAGCTTTCTTTTTGTCATTTAAAAAGTTTTGTCTTATTTTAATTTAAGAACAGACTTTACTTTTTAGAGCAGTTTTTTTGGTTCACAAATTGAGTGGAAGATGAGAGATTTTCCATCTACCTCCTGCCCCCACATGTATAGCCTCCCCCATAATTAACATCCGCACCACACTTGTTACCACCAATGAACCTACACGAACATAACATCATCACCCAGAGTTTATTTTACCTTTATTTTTGAAAAATATTTTTGCTGGCATGGAATTCTAGGTTGACTTTTTTTTTTTGCTTTGGTACTCATAGGTATTGCCCCATTTTATTTTGGCTCTCATAGATTCTGGTGAACAGTTTGCTGTATTTCTTCCTTTGTGTTCCTGGGAATTTAATGTGTCTTTCTCTCAGGCCACTTATTAAGATTTTCTCTTGATCTATGGGTTGGTTTTACAATGATATACTTAGTGTGGTTTTCTTTATGTTTATTCTGCTTCATTTCTTTGAGCACTAATGTTGGGGTTCATAGTCTCATCAGATTTAGAAAATAGTAGGCTATTCTTTCCTTAACTATATCTTCCCTCACCCATCTTCTTTCTGACTCCAAACACATATATTGTAAATGGCTTGATGTTTTTTTCTGAAGGTCACTGTCAATTATGTTTAATCCCCCCCCCCCCTTTGCTTTTTTTCATTTGTTTGTATTAACATAGGCTCAGGCTTACTTATCTTTTCTCCTGTAATGTCATGTGCCATTAATCCAATTCAGTAAAACATTTACTCAGATATTTAGATTTCATCTCTGGATGGTCCCATTGGTTCTTTATAGCTTTCATTTCTCTCCTTATCATGATGAGTTTATTTTCTCTCTCAGCTTTGGAGACATTTATAACATTGGTAATGATTCTTGTAAGTCCCTCGTCATTAATTCTATCATCTTTGTCATGGGGGGGGGGGGGTCTGTTTGTACTGATTGATTTTTCTCTTGCTTATAGATCATGTTGTTCTGCTTCTTTGCAAACCTGGTATTTCTGATTGAATTCAGTATGTTGTAAACCTGTATTGCTGAATGATGGACTTTGTTGTTTTCCTTTAAATAATGCTAGACTTTATTCTGGCTTACATTTAAGTTGTTTGCAGATCAGTTTGATTCTTTTAGGAACAGTTTTTAAAGACCGTCGTCAGAGTCGTTTATAAACAACCATTGTCAGAGTAGTTTATAAACAACTGTGGTCAGAGTAGCTCCAGAACCACACAGTCTAGAGCTCAATGGCCCTACAACTAACGCAATTCATTCTTCTCTGAGGCCTGTCCTGTGGTGTTCCCACTTAGCTGGTGGGAATGCGTATTTTCCAGCCTTGGGTGCACTCCTGGAGCTGTTCATCTAACCCCTGCTGGGGGTTCTCCTCTGGCTCGTGACGTTTCACCTGAGCACGCTCAGATTAGTACTCAGGCCAAGATTTATGGAGCTCCCTCCAGCACTTGGGAGCTTCACACCTACCCAGGTGCTCTCTTCTGACTTTCTGTCTTGGAAATGGGAATTGTTGTCCAGTATCTGAAACACTTGTTCCACACCTTGGTCTGGTTCTCTAGTTGAGCACTATGTGGGGGGGTAGTTTCCACCGCAGTTCATCCTTTTTTGACGCATGGCCCTTAACTCGTCAGGGCAGAAACTATTCAGATAAGGCTCTTGCCCTTAACAATTGAGTGGAGCCTAAAACATTGAAAACAGGCAAATGTATATGATGCAAAAAAAAAAAAAAAAAATCAGGCAAAATTCACAGATAGAGCACTCACGTCAGAACCTGTGGTGGCTCAGAGGAAAGGTCATGTTTACTTGGAAAATGAGCTGTGTTTCCAAGAAAGAGGTGGAATTCGAGATGGCTCACAGGGATGGGTTCAAGTTTAGAGGAAAAGCCAGGCGAGAGCTTATGGGTCAGGCAGGAGGGCAGCCAGAACAGAGGCAGGGATGAGAGGGAAACAGAGGAACACGGGAGAGAAGCCAGGGCCTCATTTCTCTGAGACGTGAGGTGTCCAGAAGGACTTGGGGTGACCCCGGAAGGGTGCATTGCTGTCCTAGGGATAGATTTGATGGGGAGATGCTGTGTGGGAGAGAGAAGGGAAAAGCTCAAAGGCATGGGTGACAAACAAGACAAGAGAGTATCTCAGGACAAACAAGGAGTCCAATTCCCCTGGGGTATAAATTTCACAAGAGAGGAATAACCCTGGACACTCAGTCCAGGTCCCCTGTGTGCCCTTGGAGATCATCCTTTACTTGAATTGATGGGGGGTCATGAACACTGTCTAAGCAGCCGATTTGGCCGCAACTGCCACAATGACCATGATGATAGAAACACAAGCACACTTACACTTTTTTAAAAAAATATTTATTGTAATTGTGCTCTGAGAAGCTCTAGGCATGCGTCTTCTTGGCCACGTTCCCGCCGGGCTTGGGGATCTTGCCCTTCCTCCGCCGGCAGCACTTCCGGCCGCCGGGGGAGCAGCTGCCGATGTGGTCCTCCCGCGGGAGACAGCTCACCAGGGCACAGCGGCCGCTGCGGACCGTGCAGAAATACTTCTGCACCGTGCTTATGATCCCTCCGTTGCCTGCAAGGAGGGAGGAGAAACCACGGAAGGTTCTAGGAGGCTTGTGGTACAAATGCAGGTTCTTGGAATTCCTCAAGTAGACTGATTTGCTGTCTCTTCCTCCCTCCCTCCCCTTCCTTCCTTCCTTCCTTCCTTCCTTCCTTCCTTCCTTCCTTCCTTCCTTCCTTCCTTCCTTCCTCCCTCTCTCCCTCCCTCCCTTTCCTTCCTCCCTCTCTCCCTCCCTCCCTTTCCTTCCTTCCTTCCTTCCTTCCTTCCTTCCTTCCTTCCTTCCTCCCTCCCTTCCTCCCTTCCTTCCTTCCTTCCTTCCTTCCTTCCTTCCTTCCTTCCTTCCTCCTCCTCCCTCCCTCCCTCCCTCCCTCCCTCCCTCCCTCCCTCCCTTCCTTCCTCCCTCCCTCCCTCCCTTTCCTTCCTTCCTTCCTTCCTTCCTTCCCTCCCTCCCTCCCTCCCTCCCTCCCTCCCTCCCTCCCTCCCTCCCTTCCTTCCTTCCTCCCTCCCTTCCTCCCTTTCCTTCCTTCCTTCCTTCCTTCCTTCCTTCCTTCCTTCCCTCCCTCCCTCCCTCCCTCCCTCCCTCCCTCCCTCCCTCCCTCCCTCCCTCCTTCCCTTCCTTCCTTCCTTCCTTCCTTCCTTCCTTCCTTCCTTCCTTCCTTCCTTCCTTCCTTCCTTGTTTTATGAAACCAAGAGTAAAGTAGAAGGTAGCACCAGGCATCCAGTCAACCAAGCATCTAAGACCTGCAGCCCAGGTCTTAGAAAGTGTGACCACAGGAAGCGAGCACCCGCACGAAGGGTGTGTGGGCGGGCTGGGCGGGCAGGCCCCCAGGACCAAAGACTCCATCTACCTCCAACCACCAAGCTCATCAAATGGAAGTCTGAGCTTCTGTTCTCCGATTAAATCAACCTTTTCTCTTGGTCTTAAAATTTCCATATTATTTTTCTTCATGTCTCATTAATAGATATAACAGTCTTTCCCTAAAAAGGTGTCTTTTGTGAACTACTTAGCCTGTTAAGAGGGGAGGGTTGGGGACTGGGTACAGAAGGGGAAGGGACAGGAAGCCACACCGGTAGTCACAGAAGTCACGGGAGGTAAGCAGAGCACAGGACATAAAGTAACGATAATTGTGGTAACTATGTACGGTGCCAGCTGGGGTACTGGAGATATCGAGGGGGTCACTTTGTAAAGTATATGATTGGCTTGTACACCAGAAACCAATGAGAAATAAAACTGAAGAAAATACCCCCCCCCCAAAAAAAACCCAGAGACAAAAGAGTGGACCCAAAAAGGCGGGGACCCTGCTCTCAGGTTCTTAATCCCTGTCAGGAAGGAAAACGTGCACTGATTTCCTGTACGACAAGCCCACTGGGCCCAGCGTCCCCAGGAATGAGGAGGGGCTGACTCAGGACACAGCCCCCCCGCCCCCCTGCCCCCTGCCCCCTGCCCCGCCCGCCTCACCTGGAGCAGGCACCAGGCACAGGAGCAGCAACCCAAGGACGAGCTGGAAGAGCCTCATGCTGCCGCCGCTCCGCACCGAGACTGGCGGGAGGGCGCACCTGCCGACTTTATAAAGGCAGGTCTGCGCCATAGCAGACGGAGCCACGCGGCAATTCCTGTAATGTCACAGGGATGACAACGACGTCGTTCCGGGAGCTGCGTGCCAAGGCCTCTTAGCACACGGGAGCGCCCACTCGGCCGGGGGACCCTGCCAAACCTGAAGGGCGAAACAGCTTGATGCGCCCCCAGCTGTCCTGGTGCCCTCTGGGCTCTGGTCCAGGGTCACCTCCCATCTGGCGGGAGGCCCAGGAGGGAAGGATCTGCCTGTGCTCGGAAGCAGTCCTGGAGGTCGCTGGGAGCCCACTGGTCCCCACTGCGGGACTCTTAGGCTTTCTGCGTCCCTCCTAACACGCCGGGGGGTCCGAGGCTCCCCTGGGAACCACAGCCGCCCAGCCTCTGGCGTGTTCAGGTCTAGGTGTAACCTCGGTCTAGGTCGCACCCTGAGGCTGCACAGCTACACGGGGAGTTGAGATAAAACAGGATCAAGTTTTTGGTGATGAAGAAGGTAGGAAAAATGGGCTACAGCCCTGAGTCCGTCCCCCCGAGCCCCTTGGCCACGATGGGGTGCTGTAACTTGGGTGAAACTCAGCTTACAGTACATCCTTGTCTGAAAACTGCCCGATTCATGAGTCAAGGTGCCTCATTGTCCCTTGTCAGAGAGGGAGAATGCTGGGATGATGCCTTGGACGGGCCGGCATCCCCGCCTTGTCGGTGACACTCCTCATGCAGATGATTCTGAGGAAGGTGCACTCAGACCTGCTTGCTCACGGCTGACGAGCGTCCGGGGAAGTCCAGGAGCAGGCGGTGTCCACTGGACGGCCAGTGCTCAGTGGGCCGACTGCCTTTTCAAACTGCATCAAGTGTTAGACTCGAATGTCGAGGAAGGCAATCAATAGGTTATTTGTCAATAGACGAATTAGGAGCCGAAGGTGCCCGGACGGTGCCCGCGGTGCCTGACGTGGGTGCAGTCACCAGGGCTGACCGGCGCCCCCGTCGGATTCCGTAAGCTAACTCCAAACACCGACTGTAGAGACAAGTCCCCTGAGCTTGGGTGGAGGAGGGGATGGAAGAGGTGAGAGACCAAGAGGGGCCAGTTTGGTTCCGTCTCTCAAGCAGCTCCCAGGGAGGTGAAGGCAGATGGACACACAGTCCGATCAACCGCACTGGGTGGATTTGGGTAAGTTGTACTGAGGTCAAGCACAGGGCTGTGAAAACGTAGAAGAAAGATAAGAGTGAGGGGCGGCGCAGGAGTGGACTGTGGGGGCCTCGCAGCCTACAGGACAGAAGAGGGGCTGGCGGCGTGGACTGTGGGGGCCTCGCAGCCTACAGGACAGAAGAGGGGCTGGTGGTGTGGACTGTGGGGGCCTCGCAGCCTACAGGACAGAAGAGGGGCTGGTGGTGTGGACTGTGGGGGCCTCGCAGCCTACAGGACAGAAGAGGGGCTGGTGGTGTGGACTGTGGGGGCCTCGCAGCCTACAGGACAGAAGAGGGGCTGGCGGCGTGGACTGTGGGGGCCTCGCAGCCTACAGGACAGAAGAGGGGCTGGTGGTGTGGACTGTGGGGGCCTCGCAGCCTACAGGACAGAAGAGGGGCTGGTGGTGTGGACTGTGGGGGCCTCGCAGCCTACAGGACAGAAGAGGGGCTGGCGGGGTGGACTGTGGGGGCCTCGCAGCCTACAGGACAGAAGAGGGGCTGGCGGGGTGGACTGTGGGGAGCTGGCCAGCTGGCCGCCCGTGCAGGGCTGAAGTCAGCAGAGTGGAGGGCCCCTGGGGGGGGGGGTGTCCTCTCCACGTGGAGAGCAGACCTCCACCGTGATCCTTGGTCCCCCCGCTCCTTTAAAGCCTGGGTGGCATTTCCAAGGCAACACCCTGTTTCAGAAGAGGCTCCTAGGGAATAGAAGCCCCCTTTCTTTGTCAGCTAATTTGGAAGCCGGGGATTGAAGCTTGGGCTATGCACCGCACCCTCCCCACGCACAGAACACATTTTAAGGAGTATTTCTGCATTTTTAAAATATTATAAAAGTTGCCTCTGTTTGTGGTAAAAATTCAATCAACAGAAGAAGGAGAATGTTCCTCCTCCTCTCCACCCCCTTGTGAACTGCAGTTTGCCTTCTGTTTGCATGTTATATCTTTTTTTTTTAATGTCAAAAATACTTCTAACCTTTCCAGTAATAGCTGTTGCAGGGTTGTTGGCTAATAATTAATTGTGGCTGGAGCCTGACGACATGCCGAGCGAGGGCTGGCCCACGCCTGGCCGGGCTTGAGTCACTGAGAGCGCAGAGCCCGCCGGCTGCAGGACAGAGGCCCTGGCCCCTCCCAGCCCGAGCCGGGGTGTTTCCACGATGTTGATTAGGTTCAGAGAGGAGAGGCTCAACTTTTTTGTTCTTGTCGGACTTTCCTCTCATCTTTTTTTCGTGGAAGACTGTTGTTAAAACGTGGAGCGGAGATTCGGTGGAGGCGAGTTTTCGGTGGAGGGGCAGCGCGGTGCGGGGACCGAGCGCCAGGGCTGGAGTTTGCCCGGTTTCGCCTTCGCTCTGTCGTCTGTGATGTGAATTAATTACTTCAGTAAGTTACTGATAGCTGAGCATCGATTCCTCGGCAATGAAGCTCAGAGAGTAACTTTGTCTTGTTCGGCCCGCAGTGAACCCCCTAAAGTTAATGGTGTGAAGCTGACGTGTGCACAGGAAATTGCCACGTGACCCACAGATCGCCGTGTGGCCTCAGCAGGAATAATGGGTGGGGGCTGGGTAGCAATCAGGGTGTCTAAAGAGTGGTCAGGGCTCCCAGCAAAGGGAACCCAAGGTTTCAACTCTTCATCGTAACAGTGTGAGGGCGGCTCAGCCGTTTTAACCATGTCGTGACCATCGTGTGGGCAAAGATACGCATTGTCTCAGCTTTATCCGAGGACGCGGAGGCAGCAACGGGCAGCTCTGGACGGTGGGGTCTGCAGCCTCGTCAGGCACCTCTCCTCCAGCTGCCCCGTAGACTGGCCAAAGGGATGCAGGGATGAAGCCAGGATGTTTCTCTTCCTGTACTTCGGGGGGCACCTTCCCTGTGCCCCCACTTCCCACCAGAAAGCCATTTCACTCATGGTCCCTGCTCCCACCGGGAGGACCTCCATGCCCAGCACCTGCTGAGTGGTCCCGATCACACTGGGACCGTGACCTCCCTCTTCCTCGTTCCGCTGTTGCAGATTCTGGGCTCCCTCACCACACTTTAGACTGCTCAGCTCTGCAGTCACCTACAAACCAATGGTCTACATGTATCCCCCACTCGAGATTCTTAAATTTAGTTCAATTCCTGTGGTCGGACTTTGTCGCCCAAGGCCACGTTCTAAAGCATCGTGACATTCGAGCTCTGTGAAGTCTTCCCCTCGGGTGACGTTACTGTGCTGTCGACAGCTGGAGGACACTTTGCTGCACACCGGCCCCCTGAACCCTTCACCAGCCGAAGATTAGCACGAGGCGAGGTCTCCCAGGCAAGGGCATGGAGCTGCCGGTTGTTACCGACCTGCTTTGGCGCTGTTGTCACATTGTCACGGTTCTGTGTTCTTCCGTCGTCGGTGTGTACGTGCGGCAGCTTCTAGCATTCGGGTTCGTCACTTGTAATTTTAGCTCAATTACGTCTCTAAAAAATAGGTAAGCAAGGACTACCTTTTCTTCGGGAAGGTGGCGAAGTGTAGCCTGTCGTCGGGACCATCTGAGGGGCACTGTGTTTTGTCAGTGTGTTGGTTCTCCGCGGAGGGTTGAGGACTGGCTAGCCCTCGCCTACTTTGTCCTGCTTTGTGCATTTGCCTGTTTGCCTGTCTCCCGAAGGCACAGGAGCTCCGTCGTCTGCCCCGGAGGACAGTGTCCTTGTCTTCCAACCCAAGGCGGGAAGCTGCCTCTCAGCACGGGGGAGTGAACTGGGGAAGCGTCGCTGTGTTCGCGCTGGTCGCTGAGCTGTCTGTCTCTCCTAACCATCTGGCTGGGAACTAATGTGCCCAGCATCTCCAGGAAGCAGCTTTGCATCTTCCAGGCATGAACCAACACTGTGGCCCTTCGACTTCCTTGAGTTGTGACTTTATTTGCTACTGTGCTCTACCCAGAGAGAGAGAGAGGAGTCCCAGGACTCATCGTCGGTTGATTGGGGGGAGGGGGGGGCTGGGCAGCCAGAGACACAGCTGTCCTCTCCAGGGGCCAGAGCACCGAGCAAGGTCAGGGGGAAAGTGAATGGTTCAGTCTGGCCAAAGTCTAGTGGACAAGCATGTAGAGAGGTCTGCATCTGATTATTAGACAACTGGAGGCCATGCCACAAATTCAATACAAACTAGATTAAAGATTAAAGTCATCTAATGTGCTGACCCCCCACGCCCCAACACACACACACACACATAACTCCTCAACAAAGACCGAGGAGCAGGGCTGATAAAGTTGTGCATACGACTGGGCCAAGGATACTGGTGGTAACTCACAAATCTTTGTGTTTGAAAAACCATCTGTAGACTCTACCTGCAAATGATGTCAGTCAGGGAGCTCGGCCACCATGAGATGGGAAGGCTGGTGATGCCCAGGGACATTCGCTGGGTTCCAGGCACTCTGCTCTGCCCCTGTACCTCAACAGCAAAGTAGTTCTCAGAGCAACTAGACAGAGTCCAGAGGAAAGAGCTGTCAGTAAAGGCATCCTGTTTTCTCTGCCCAGGACCTGTGCCAAAGTTCTGATTCAAAGACCACTGGGGTGGGCGACTGAGCATATCTTCTCAGTGGTCTTGTATTGTCAGTCACTGAGGCTCTGTGTGGTCCAAATATGGAAATCATCTACATTACCATTTCTAACCCTCATTTCTTTATACGCAACATAAATTAATTTGAAGAGATGATGCTTATGACCATCTTGACTACAACAGTAAGGCTGCTTTCCAAGGTTCCCCATACCCACCATGCCCTACCTTCATGCAGTCACCCCCTATTCTTTAAATAGT